ACATGGGAATACCACATGTGTGAGACTTTTTCACAGCCTAGATGCATAAGGGGCCCAAAATCCTAGATGCAAAAAGGGGCCCAAAATCCAAGGGAGCGCCTTTGGGCTTTCAAGGAGCATAAATTTTGGATCTAATTTTCTGACTACCGATCGCATTTTTGGAGGCCCTGGTGCACCAGAACATGGACCCTCTCCTCTTTAGTCCGGAGGACCTGGAGCCCGTGGCTGCCAAAAAATGTCAGATTTCGATTTTTCTGACCACAGAACAGTTTTCCACTTTGTAACATACCGCTTTAAATACGCTTTAGCCCAGAGAAGATAGCAGCATTTCTGGATCATGTTCAGATATGGCTTCTTCTTTGCATGATAGAGTTTTACCCTATTTGTATTACTGTATTTGCAGACAGTGATTTTTGGAAGTATTCCTCAGCCCATGCAGTGATATCCATCATAGAATCATGCCTGTTTTTAATGCAGTGCCGTCTGAGGGCCCAAGCCTTTGCAAATTTATGTTGAGGAACATTATTCTGAAAACATTTGACAATTTTTAGATGCAGCTTTCTACAGATTGATGAACCTCTGCCCATCTTTACTCCAGAGACACTCTGACTCTCCAGGATGCTTTTTTTTTTACCCAATCATGTTACTGACCTGTTGTCAACTCAGCTAATTAGTTGCAAAATTCAGCTCTTTCCTGTTAATATCACTTACTTTACCAGAAAAGGAAATGCATAGGTGGGACTTTAAAGGTGCTATAATGTCTACCCTCGGGAAAAAACACACAAAGACAAAATCATATTGTTAAAAGGAGGGTTGATAACCTCCAACATTATAAAAACACTCTTAGACGTAACTCACGTGGCACATAGTCAGCAAACCCCATATACCTTCCCCAGTATATATAGGGGTAAAATAAATATTGAACACATCACCATTTTTCTCAGTAAATATATTTTTAAATGTGTTATTGACATGAACTTTTCACAATATTTCGGTTACAACCTATGCAATCCATACATACAAAGAAACCAAAACAAATAAGTTCAGACTTTAAGGTATGTGCAGGGGTGGACTGACAACTCATGGGGCCCCTGTGTCCTCGCCCACACTCAAACACCACCCAAAAAAGCCTATGAAAAGGTACCAGGGGCTTCTCATGGGGCCCCCTACTGACCTTGGGCCCTCAGGCAGTGCCCAAGTTCCCAAATGGTCAGTCCGCCCCTGGGTATGTGTAATAACATGGAAGGACGCAGGGAAAAAGTATTCAATACATGAAAAAAGGGAGGTGCAAGAAAGGCATGAAAAGCCAAGACACCAGCTGAAATCTATCAGTAATTAGAAAGCAATCCTGCCCCTTGTCAGTGCAAATTAATATCAGCTGGTTCAGTCTCAACTGATGGCCGTTAAAAAGGTATCTCATTACCAAGGTGTCACAAACGAAACATCTCATGATGGTTAAAAGAAAAAAGAGCTCTCTCAAGATCTTAACAACCTTATGGTTTCAAAACATACACATGGTATTGGTTATAGAAAGATTTCTAAACTTCTGAATGTTCCAGTGAGCACTGTTGGGACCATAATCCGGAAGTGGAAAGAACATCATTTCACCATAAATCGGCTATGACCAGGTTCTCCTTGCAAGAATTATCAGAAGAGTTGTTCAAGAGCCAAGGACCACTTGTGGAGAGTTTCAGAAAGACCTGGAATTAGCAGGTACAATTGTTTCAAAAAACCCCCAATAAGTAATGCACTCAGCCACCATGGCCTGTATGCACACTCACCATGCAAGACTTCATTGCTGCTGGAAAAGTATGTTGAAGCTCGATTAAAGTTTGCTGCATAACATTTAGACAAGCTTGTGAAATACTGGGAGAATTTAGTCTGGTCAGAGGAGACCAAAATTTAACTCTTTGATTGCCATAATACACACCATGTTTGGGGGTCAAATGGCACTGCACATCACCCCAAAAACACCATCCCAACAGTGGTGGTGGCAACATCACAGTGTGGGGCTGTTTTTCAGCATAAGGTACTGGCAAACTTAATGTCATTGAACAAAGGATGATTCTTAATAAAAATCTGCTGCCATCTACAAGGATGCTGAAGAAGAAACGAGGGTGAACATTTCAGCAAGACAATGATCCTAAACACAAAGCCAAGGAAACTCTCAATTGGTTTCAAAGAAAGAAAATAAAGCTGTTAGAATGGCCCAGCCAATCACCTGACTTGAATCCAATAGAAAATCTATGGAAAGAACTAAAGATCAGAATTCATACAAGAGGCCCACGGAACCTTCAAGATTTGAAGACTGTGTGGAAGAACGGGCCAAAATCACACCTGAGCAATGCACGCGACTAGTTTCTCCATACAAGAGGCATCTTGAAACTTATTACCCACAAAGAATTTTGTATGAAGCATTAAATATATTTTAGTTAGTGTGCAAAATACCTTTTCCCTGTGTAATTCCATTTTATTACACATAACTTAATTTCTGAATTTATTTGTTTTGGTTTCTTTGTATGTATGGATTGCATGGGTTGTTAACGACATGTGATGAACATTTTGTGTCAATAGCACCTTTAGAAATATTTTTACTGAGAAAAATGGTGATGTGTTTAATACTTACAGTGAGGAGCAGAAGTATTTGAACACCCTGCGATTTTGCAAGTTTCTCCCACTTAGAAGTCATGGAGGGGTCTGAAATTCACATTGTAGGTGCATTCCCACTCTGAGAGACAGAATTTAAAAAAGAAATTCAGGAAATCACATTGAATGATTTTTAAAGAATTTATTTGTCTTTACATCAAAGACAGGCAAACCTGGGGTAGCCCTTACTCAACTTCAGGCAGAAGGAGTGGTAACCTTAGTTCCTGTAGAAGAGAAGTTCACAGCATTTTGCCCAAACCACTTTAGACCTAAAATCCCTAAACAGATTTCTGCTTGCCCCCAAATTTTGCATGGAGTTTGAAAGATCTGTCATCGCTTCTCTCAGATTAGTGGAATTTCTGGCATCAGTGGACATTCAATATTCCTACCTTCACATTCCCATCTTTTCTGCACACCAATGCTTTCTACCCTTGCTTGCTCCCTTCTGGCCCTGCTAAGATCTCGGGGCATCCATGTTGTGAGGTACCTAGATGGCCACCTACTGAAAGACTCCTCAGCCATGATCTTGTCTTGCAACACTTTTTTTTGTTGGTTGAACTAAACCAGATTAACTATGTAACACTGAAAGGACAATCCAGCTGCTTTAAGCTTTTGAATGGGTGATCGACTTCAAGAAGTCTGCCCTGCAGGCTTCCCATGGCCTGAAGAATATAAAAATTTCCCCTCCCTTGAAAAGGTTGCTTCTGTAATATCCATTTGTCAGATTCGCAGATCAGTCAGAATCTCTCAACTTATTTCTGCATGAGGATTCTGGGCCTAATAGTAGCCTCCTTCAAGGCCTTTGCAGCTCAACATTTTCAACTCAGTTCTAGAATACAAGAACTCATTTCTTCACTCTCTCTGGAAGGGAATCATGATGGACATTAGCCTATTGGGCTATGCCAGGATATACAATTCCCTTACTGTCCAGGGCACCTAGTCCCCGCAGGACTCAACGCTCCCTAACAACATTCTGGAACTGACAGGCAAAAGACAGATTCTCCTACACTAGACCATTTTCCTACACGGTCACCCAGTAAGGGTGCAATCAGACAACACTATGGCTGTGGCCTACATATACCATAAAGGGGAACAAGAATTTAGGCAGCTCTGAGGATGCAAGTCTGATTTTTTCCAGGTCAATGAGCAGTATGAAGAGCAATCTTTTTTTGTAGAGCTTTCAACAAGTGTTGGTGAAGCTTTTAACTTGTCCTTCAGCTCTAGTTTGTAAATGCTGAACACAGATCCTAATGGGAGTGTTGATTGCCACTTTAAACAAGCTGCTAGCAGGCTTCAGCAGACTTTCAACAAGCATCAATAAGTGCTGAAGCTTGCTAGCAGCTTGTTTAAAGTGGCAGTCAACACTCCCATTAGGATTTGTGTTCAGCATTTACAAACTGCAAACTGGAGCTGAAGGTCCTGCAAAGCTTGCTGAAATTCCTGCAAATGCTTTGTCAAAGTTTGCTGTTCACACTGCTCTTATACAAGGTGAAGCCCATATGAAACAGGCCTTAGTATTTACCTAGCTACAATATCCTCCTTCAGAAAAATGGAATCCCTTTTTTGTCCCCCCAAAAGCCCAAGGAAGGGGCGTCCTGCTTCTAGCATAGATAGATGGTTAAGGCAGCTCATTTCCAGGGCTTATGCCCTCAAGGAAAGGGTTCCTCCCTTCCCTTTCAGGGCCCACTCCACAAGATCTGTCAGTGTTTCTTGGGCTACCACCTAGTCTTCCATGGATCTCCAGGCCTCTGCTGATGTGAGCTTTGGTCGTGAGATGTTTCAAGCTGTCACCTGAGTGTTTTAGGTCCATTGACCCTTGTCTTTGTGGGCCTGTTTGCTATTGTTGCCCACCTCTCCATTTATTGTTTGGGAATATGCCATGGTCTATGACTACAAGCCCTGTGCCCTGTACTGTACAATGAAGATAATGGGAATTCTGATTAAATTTCATATCTTGGAGCACAGTACAGGACACAGGTCCCTCTTCTCTGTTTCTCCTTTTTCGTTGCTAAAAACTGGAGTTCCACAGAGTGGGTGGGTTTAAATGAAGATGACCTGGGGATGGGGGGGGCGTTTCCAGCAAAACTTTTGCCAGTGTCCAATCACCTGAAGGTAGCAGCACATAACTCATGGTCTATGACTGCAAGTCCTGTGTCTTGTAATGTACTCCAAGATATAAAATGTGTTCAAGGTATGTTGAAAGTCCCATTTTTCTCTAACACAAAGCACCAAAGGTGTGTTGCCTTAGTGTATTCAGAATGGATATCACTGCAACGCATGCTTTGTGTGTTACTGCACTTTGCGGCAATGTACGCATTACTGCAACACACAAGTAGGTCCTACATGTGCTATCACCAGGGGCGGACTGACCATTTGGAAACTCGGGCACTGCCCGAGGGCCCGGGGTCAGTAGGGGGCCCCATGAGATGCCCCTGGTACCTTTTTATAGGCTTTTTTAAGTTTGGGCAAGGACACAGGGGCCCCATGATCCCCTATTGCCCGGGGGCCCCATGAGTTGTCAGTCCGCCCCTGGCTATCACTTCCTGTCCTAGTGACAACGGTTACCAGGACTAATAAACAAGGGGACTCTGCCTCGCTAAAACACAGACAGCAATAAAATCCTATCAGAGGTTCTAATCTTTCCTCGCTCCATCAAAAACTGAAAACAAAGCTTTGACTTTTGATACACTTAACTTCCCAGCTGTCATTTTCTAGCACAGGCTTGAATGTAACTGTTGGCTATGATGCAGTGCTGACAGTTTTTGTTTCAGAACCATAAAAAAAGACCCTGTGTTGCATTGGAAGGTGACTGTTTGCTAGAGGCAATAGACACCTCCCTTTGCATTGGTCTCCATAACTGACAACCCGCTGCGTGCCAAAACTCCCTCCCGAAGATTGTGCATGGTGAAGTCTAGTGTTTCTCCTCAAAGAATATAAGTGCAGTATATGAGCTCTGTAGAGTTGCTTAGTAACAGTATATAATAGTAATTATGCAGCAGCCAAGAATCAAAGATCAGCTCTGGGAAACGGGGAGAAGGGACTGAGCTGATATACACAGTGTGATGAGAGTCTATCGACCGCATACCACAGAAGGAGCCATCTTATGGGCCAAGCCTGCGTTGGTCCGTTTGGCCTGTTGAGTCCATTAGCATCACTCATTTTTGGGGGTTGCTCCAAAGAGGGTAAAAAATTCAGTCTTATTGCTTAGAGACCTCATGAGGTATAGCGTGACTCGTGCCTCTTGTGTCTGCAAGGTTGACATTTTTCACCAGGAATTCACACTACCAGAGGCGGACTGACCATTCGAGCACTCGGGCACTGCCCGAGGGCCCAGGGTCAGTAGGGGGCCCCATGAAATGCTCCTGGTACTTTTTATAGGCATTTTTGGGTGTGTGTTTTGAGTGTGGGCAAGGACATAGGGGCCCCATGATCCCCTATTGCACAGGGGCCCCATGAGTTGTCAGGGTCAGTAGGGGGCCCCATGAAATGCCCCTGGTACCTTTTATAGGTTTTTTTGGGTTTGTTTCGAGTGTGGGCAAGGACACAGGGGCCCCATGATCCCCTATTGCCCGGGGTCCCCATGAGTTGTCAGTCCGCCCCTGCACACTACAGCAGGGGTGTCCAAACTATGGCCCTCCAGCTGTTGAAGTACTACAAGTCCCATCATGCCTCTGCCTCTGGGTGTCTTGCCTGTGGATGTCAGAGTCTTGCCAGACCTCATGGGACTTGCAGTTCCTTAACACCTGGAGGGTCATAGTTTGGGCACCCTTGCATTTTATTGCAAGTTCTTACCTACCTCTGTTCTGTAGATACTGAGACAGGCTGTTCCAGTGAACGTGGAAGGCTCTGCCTCTATTTTATTCACACTATCAACCTCGAAACTGTAATAAGAAATATGGCACCCCAACCGTTTGACATTAAGGCCCCATTCACACCTGAGCGATTTGTAGCTTGAAGCTACAAAACGCTTGAGGAGAAAAAAAAAATCAAGTATTCTCAATGGAGATGGTTCACATTTCCAGTCCAAGTCGCCTGAGGCCAAACGCCTGAAGCTCAAACAAGTCCTGGATATTTTTTTTGTCGCTCAAACTGGGGAGATTTGCTTCTTTTGCTTGTTTTTGTGTGGTTTTAATTCCATAGAGATAAATGGAAATGTGCGATTTGCACATTTTTGAGCATTTTCCTGTGTTTTTCTGCTCAAATGAAAAAAATGTAAAAAGAAAAAAATACTAATAATAAATGAATAAATAATAAATAAAAATAAACAAATATGCAATAAGAAATGAAGAATAATTAGCCACCTGACCCTAAAATACAAAATCACGTATATATATATATGTGATTTTGCGCAGCCCTGCCGCCCTGTATCAGTAGTTCTGCTATACGGTGGTTAGGAAGTGGTTAAAATAATAAACATGGAATACTTACCTTCTCTGTGTAATGGTTTTGCACATCTCAGCCCTGGTCCACCTCTTCTCATGTCCCCCGCCAGTACTCCTGGCTCCTCCCCCCTACAGAGTGCCTCTATAGCAAGCGATGAGGCATTTGTTGCCATAAGACACACAAAACGGAGCTTTGCCCCACCCCCCGCTCCCTCCTCACTGGCTGTAATTAACAGAAGCAGGAGCCAATGACTTCAACTGCTGCCTCTCTGTCCAGTGAGGGGGCGGGAGAGCAGCAACTCTCATGCACATCGCTGGATTGTGATCAGGCTCAGGTAAGTATTATTCTGCTGGGGAATGAGGGAGGAGCTGCATACTGAAGGTATTTCTGTGTGACATTTCAATAACGTTTATTTCAAAAAGTTTTAAAAAAGGAACGGTATGGTACAGAGCGGTGATTCGCCCCAGATCGTACCATACACCCGCTGCTGCGTTAGAAAACACTGGCTGGTGTGAATGAACCCTTAGGCTCGGTTCACACTACTTACAGTGCTACTTTGTCAGGCGACCTCTTGGCGATTTGCTGGTGACTTGAGTATGACTTTGATGCAATTTGATGTGCAACGTTCATGCCATGTGACTTTGCCTGGGTAATCTTCCTGTAATGTCGTATCCAAATCACATCAAGATAGATGAGCATCCGACTTGGATGGGCACAAGTCAGATAGACGTCGCCTTGAAGTAGTACAGGAGCCTTTCTAAAGTCAGAGCGACTTCAGTAGTGCTAATTAAGACAGCTCTCATTGGCTAACATGGGAATTTAAATGTCATGCGATTTGGGGTCTCACAAGTCGAATCTCAAGTTGCAGCAATGTGAACTGAGCCTTAGTGTTTTTCTGCCATCACTTTTCTATTTCTAAGATGCTTGCATGGAGTGTGCATGTTGTCCCTGTGCTTGTGCGGGGTTACTCCCGCACTCCAAAAAAATGCTGGTAGGTGATGCAGCAATACATGTGAAGGATCAGCCCTGGACGCTGACTGTCTGTGTCCAGGGCCAGTCGTGTGTAGGTAATCGCTCCATGAGCAATTGTGAGTGGCAACAATTAGCTGTGGGAGCTGTCAGCCTCACCCATTGTTTTCAATGGGGCTGCCACCCGCAGCTAATCACCGGGAATCCTTGCTGAGTCTCCCATATATAAACGCTAACGGCCCCATTCACAAGTGTGAATGGTTGTGAATGATGCCATTGGGACCTAAGATTGTAAGCTCCTTGATGGCAGAGACTGATGTGAATGTACAATACTGTATATGTAAAACGCTGCATAAATTGTGGGCACTATTTCAATCCCTTTTAACAAATAAGTATTTTTTTAAAAATGTAATTTTTTTTAAAAGAGTTTTTTTAAAAAAGGGCAATTAAAGTGTTACTAAACCCACAACAGTAAAATCAGTTTGTGGAACCTAAGGAGTTAATCATCTGCATTGTGTAAAAAGACTTTTTGATTCTGTCTTCTCTGATCCTCCCCCTTCTTCTACTGTTCCCAATCCGTCTGCTGATAGAATAGAGCTTTGGTGGAAAGCTGCACATGCTCAGTTTGGTGTGTATTGCTAGAGAGTTTTTTGCTTTCCTGGGAGAGTGCATGTGATCAGCACAGGGCCAATCAGCGCTGTCCAGACAGAGGGTCAGGGTCCTGCAGCCTCACAGGACAATCAGGGGAGAATGAAAACTCCTACAAGCTTTAACCTGTGCTCAGCTGGACTCTGTTAGATTTCACAAGACTGCTACATACTGCTGATGAGAAAAGATATTTAGCAGTTTATATTTACTAAACAAATAGCATTTCCATGTTCTGTGTACTGTGGGAGATCAGATATAGTGAATGCCGGGTCTTGGATTTAGTAACACTTTAATTATGATGGGGAGATTTACTAAACCTGTTTCACACAAAATCTGGTGCAGCTGTGCATGGTAACCAAACAGCTTCTAACTGCAACTTGTTCAATTAAAGCGGAGCTCCACCCAAAAGGGGAAGTTATGCTTTAAGCCTATGTCCCCCGTTCCCCATTAAGGATTGGCACCTTTGGGGAGCGGGTACCTGAATTTGACAGGTACTACCCCCCCCCCACTTATGCTGCGATCACCTAGGCCAGTGGTGGGCAACCTTTTTTTTTTCAACTGAGCCAAATCTCGCCAAAACCACGATTGAAATTTATTTTGAGAGCCACATTTTTAAAACTGAAAATACATCCCCCATATAGTAATTCATCCCCCATATAGTAATTCATCCCCCATATAGTAATTCATCCCCCATAGTAATTCATCCCCCCATAGTAATTCTTCCCCCATAGTAATTCATCCCCCATAGTAATTCATCCCCCATAGAGTAATTAATCCCCCATATAGTAATTCATCCCCCATATAGTAATTCATCCCCCATAGTAATTCATCCCCCATATAGTAATTCATCCCCCATAGTAATTCATCCCCCATATAGTAATTCATCCCCCATATAGTAATTCATCCCCCCTATAGTAATTCATCCCCCATATAGTAATTCATCGCCCATATAGTAAATTCATCCCCCATAGTAATTCATCCCCCATAGTAATTCATCCTCCATAGTAATTCATCCCCCATATAGTAATTCATCCCCCATATAGTAATTCATCCCCCATATAGTAATTCATCCCCCATAGTAATTCATCCCCCCATAGTAATTCATCCCCCATATAGTAATTCATCCCCCATATAGTAATTCATCCCCCATAGTAATTCATCCCCCATATAGTAATTCATCCCCCATATAGTAATTCATCCCCCATATAGTAATTCATCCCCCATAGTAATTCATCCCCCATATAGTAATTCATCCCCCATAGTAATTCATCCCCCCATAGTAATTCATCCCCCATATAGTAATTCATCCCCCATATAGTAATTCATCCCCCATAGTAAAATTCATCCCCGATATAGTAATTCATCCCCCATACAGTAATTCATCCCCCATAGTAATTCATAATTCCCCCGTATAGTAATTCATCCCCCATAGTAATTCATCCCCCATAGTAATTCATCCCCCATAGAGTAATTAATCCCCCATATAGTAATTCATCCCCCATATAGTAATTCATCCCCCATAGTAATTCATCTCCCATATAGTAATTCATCCCCCCTATAGTAATTCATCCCCCATATAGTAATTCATCCCCCATATAGTAATTCATCCCCCATAGTAATTCATCCCCCATAGTAATTCATCCCCCATATAGTAATTCATCCCCCATATAGTAATTCATCCCCCATAGTAATTCATCCCCCCATAGTAATTCATCCCCCATATAGTAATTCATCCCCCATATAGTAATTCATCCCCCATATAGTAATTCATCCCCCATAGTAATTCATCCCCCATAGTAATTCATCCCCCATATAGTAATTCATCCCCCATAGTAATTCATCCCCCCATAGTAATTCATCCCCATATAGTAATGCATCCCCCATAGTAATTCATCCCCCATACAGTAATTCATCCCCCATAGTAATTCATCCCCCCATAGTAATTCATCCCCCATATAGTAATTCATCCCCCATAGTAATTCATCCCCCATAGAGTAATTAATCCCCCATATAGTAATTCATCCCCCATATAGTAATTCATCCCCCATAGTAATTCATCCCCCATATAGTAATTCATCCCCCATAGTAATTCATCCCCCATATAGTAATTCATCCCCCATATAGTAATTCATCCCCCTATAGTAATTCATCCCCCATATAGTAATTCATCCCCTACATAGTAATTCATCCCCCATATAGTAATTCATCCCCCATAGTAATTCATCCCCCATATAGTAATTCATCCCCCATATAGTAATTCATCCCCCATAGTAATTCATCCCCCATATAGTAATTCATCCCCCATATAGTAATTCATCCCCCATAGTAATTCATCCCCCATATAGTAATTCATCCCCCCTATAGTATTAGTAATTCATCCCCCATAGTAATTCATCCCCCATATAGTAATTCATCCCCCATAGTAGTAATTCATCCCCCATATAGTAATTCCCCCATATAGTAATTCATCCCCCATAGTAATTCATCCCCCATAGAGTAATTCATCCCCCATATAGTAATTCATCCCCCATAGAGTAATTAATCCCCCATATAGTAATTCATCCCCCATAGTAATTCATCCCCCATATAGTAATTCATCCCCCATATAGTAATTCATTCCCCATATTGTGTCAATTCACTTACCTTTGCTCCGTGCGTTCCTCTCGCCATGTTCCCGCGCCGTTC